GCCAACTGATTCATTGTTACCAGAAGACAATGAAGTGCATGAGAAAAGAAGGGAAGGAGGGGGTTAGAGGAGATATTTTTCCCTTTTTGGCTCTTAGCTAGCCCACATTTCATGGATAAATTCTTCAATCTTGTCAAACCTCAATTTCCTCATCTGTGAAAGGGGAAAATAATGCTGATCATATGTAATTTACAAGTTTGTGGATTGATTACAGAACACTATATGGCATTTATATTTTAGAAATAGTAATTTTGCCTCCTAAATGATACAGATTGGGTAAATCTCTCACTCTGGCACTCATATTTGCCTTATATAATGTTTTCTCAATAACACTGTTGTTGTTTGTATTCAAGCCTATTGCCACATTCATAGGATCATAGAACTTAGACCCCAAAGGATCTTTAGGATTAAAAGTAACCCAAGCTCACCCCACTGTTGTCTATATACTTGTTATTCGTCATTGGAACCCGACCAGCCACAGTCACTCTTTTCCAGTCTTCCTGGGCTCACATGCGTAAAGATACAACCAGAAGCCAAAGGAAAATCGAAAGCCGAGGTCGCCTCCAGCACGGCTGCTGTATTTGATAAGTGTATTGAGTATGACAGTGTTGTCACACAATTCATTAGTAAAATCTCATATTCCAAACATCAAGAGATTCCTTTCCCTCCAGCGGTTCGGAGCGATAAAATGGCATTTGCGGTGAACTTTTCCATGTAGGTGGGACTCAATACCATTAATCAAACAGAAAAACCGGGGTGGGGAGAAGAAATCTGTTAACCAAAGGTCACTAGCCCAGTTCACTTCTACGGGGAATAGGAAATTGCCTAGGGCGGAGGGGAGAAGGCGTGCGTTGGAGGACAAGAGAACAAACGGTTCCCGGAAACGCGTGGTCGTTCCCAGTTTCTCCCGGCGAGCCCTTTATTATCTAAAGAGACTGCAAACCCAGTAACAGGATAGGAGACCTTGCAGGGGGAAAAGAGGAATAACGCTCAAGGCGATCAGATCTTCACCTCACCTCAATAGTCCCCAAACAGGTGCACGCCCAGAACCCCTTTAACCTCAGTCATAAATCTATTAACATATAACTAAGGCCATTGTCCTTAACCTTCCTAAAATTCTGCATAACCCAAAATGCACTGAGAATGAGCATTTCCACACACAACCCGAGGACACTCACTTTTAAAATATCAGTAGCCCGTGGGGTATGGAAGAGTTGCAGGACAGAAGCGCAACAAGTTCGGGAAGCAGAAATTGCTGCACGAATTTTTCTCTGCCCAAGTTTCTCGCGGCGCGCAAGCGCGGCTCTATATGGGGCAGGGAGAGCTTAAAAAGCATCCACGCCCGGGAACCACAAGCTCAAGAAGAGTGCCAGGACGCAGATCCGCTAGCTCTTGGTGAGAACTGGGACCGGAGAGGATGGAAGCGCCGTCCAAGAAGGAGGGAGTCACTTAGGTATTTGAATTAGAGACGAGCTGTGAGGGGTAGGATGTGCGCGGAAGGTTAGTGAGGAACAGCCCGCAAGTCTGTCCTGGCACTGAACCTTTTAAGGATCAGGTTGTGATTCTGCCTGAATCCCTGCAGAGCAGAAGGCCCCAGACACCTGGTCCCTTACCGCTGCCAGCTGAATTGCTTAAGGAAGGGCAAAGAGTCCTGGTGGGGAGACCACGAAACCCGGAAACAGATCTGGGGGCAGATGGCTAAGAAATGAGAGAGAAGAGGTTGTGCGTTTGCGGCGGAGAAAAACCTTCCCCCATCGAATTAGAGAGCCGAAAGCCCAAGTTCAGAGAGATGGCCACGCTGTGGGGGGATCCCCGCAGCTGAAGACGTGGGGCGCGGGAATGAACGAACCCAGGCGCTCACTCGCTCGCGGCAATTTACAGGGCTGGGGCGGGGAGGGGCGTGAGGTCCAGTCCCGGGCGGCGCTGGCTCCGCACCCGCTGAGGGGTTGACAGGTGGGTTTTGTTGGTCTTCCAGGAGCTGATCTCCACCGCCCGCTGCAAGATGGGAGTCCCAGCCTTCCGGTTCGCGAGAAAAGAGCGTCTGGCGGGGCAGTGTCCTCTCCCGCCTCCCCTTCCCAGCCTGACGATTCAGAGCACTTGCGGCCCGGAATTGAGCTCCCCCTCGTCCCCAATGTCCACCTCGTCCTCTGGCTCGGTCAGCACGAAAGGGCCGGCGGGCAGGCTCAGCCGAGCGTCGGCGGCTGCAGCCTCTGGACCATGGGGACTACCCTCAGGGCTCTCAGGCCCGTCTGGAGCTTTGGGCTCGTCTTGACTTTTCCTCAGCTGCTTTTTATGCTTCATCCGCCGATTCTGGAACCACGTTTTCACCTGATTTCGGAGCGACAGAAACAAAATCGTGTCATTCTTCCAAACCCATACTAATCTGAGCGACTGCTGGGGGTTAGGAAAACGGACAGCAATCCATTGACGAATTACCAAGAACTGTGGCCGCCTCACTAGGGTTAACTACTAAATAAAGTGCTCACAAATTATGGTTTTAGGTTGAATGAGAATCAAACATCCTATGGCTCCCAGAACTTATTGTCCGAAAATAATGATGAGGATTAAAATGTTGTGGTTAGTGATTATCAATACTGTTATTAATCAGAATTACTAATAGAAAGTGCTGTGTAGACGATTCTCTTTTAAATTCAATTTGTGTTCCTTTGATTGAGATATCTAAATACCTGGTCCAGCACAACACCTGGACAGAAAGATGAGAACTGAACTTGCTAGTTTTCACCGGAAAGAAATCATATCCAGACCTGACAGATCTAATGATTTCACAGCAAGTTCCATTTCCGGATATATATGAGACAGGAGGACTAGAGGAAAGAGTTTGGGGCCTGCAGGTGAAAATCCCCTGGAGCTAAATGAAAACAATTATTCCACCCAGGACAAGGGAATAGAAAGAAAGGGCTTAAACTACAGTGTGTGTTGGGGCTTGGGTGGGGCTGCGTGTGAAGACTGGCTGCTGCGATACAGATAGAAATAAGAAAGGGGAAAAAAAAATCTCCTTGTATGAGTTTCTCCAGACAAGAAACTATCTAGTTTATCACCCGAGGAGATTTTTCTTCACGTAGAGACGCACTGGAGTAACTTTGTTTCGGAAAGTCTAGAGTGAAGTTGGGGTATCTGTGCTTTTAGTAATGATCTTGGAAAAATGAAAGCCTAGAAAAATGGGGAACAGGCTCATTATCACTCGAAGAGTTCCTCAATGGGTCCTGAAGAGTTAAGAGTTAAGGGGAGAGAGTAGTGAAGCAGAGATCAAGGACTCCCCTTCCTCCGGCCCACCTGCGTCTCCGATAGGCTGAGGGCGGTGGCCAGTTCCACCCGCTCTGGCGTGGACAGGTAGCGCTGGATCTCGAACCTCTTCTCCAAACCCGAGAGCTGTGAGTCAGAAAAAACTGTACGAGCTTTGCGGCGGCGGCAGTGTTTCCCAGGCAGCTCCGCGTGCTGGGGGTGCGGGAACAGCGCGGGAACTGGCACCCCTGCAGAGAGAAGAACAGCCAGGTAGCCAAGACCAGATCACCGGGAAGCAACCTCCGTTCTCCTCCACTCCCCACCTCTAGTGCCCAGAGGCTTCCCTTGGCCTCTGGCCTCCACCAGTCCAGTCTCCTGCTTGTCCCAAAGCTCCTGGCGCCCTTTTCACAAGAATTCAAGATGGGGGTGGGAGTGAGGAAGTGCAAAATAGCGCTTAGAGATCTCTTTCTAGAAGGCCATCTAGAAATACAAATAATAAACAGCAACTAAAATGGAAAATAAAACGACAAAACCGATCTGGAAATCTTTTTTAAATGTCTCTTTGAAGTGAGACTTCTGTCGGGTCTACCTGCACCTAGTGGTCTGTTGCGCCTGAAAAAGTTTTCTTGAAAACATCAGATGGTTCTGAGAGATGTCCACTTGTACCCACCCAAATCACTGATGACACTTAGTGCTGTGTAAAAAATCTAGTATGAAGAGGAAAGGTATGATTTTTGCCTCCTGAATTCAGTAAATTAAAAAAAAAAAATCTCTTTCCCAAGTGCCCCCACCCTCCTGCAACCAAAGAGAGCAAAACTCTTATCCAGAGAAGCTCAGAAACCCTCCTTCCACATTTCCTTGTCAGTTTCCTGGTTGCAACCGTACTCTCTAATCTGGTCCTTGTTCTTCCTTTCTGACTCCAAAGTAAGCAAAGGAGAAGGGCAGAGCACTTTTCCTTGCTCTCTCAGGGGAGATTTCTCCTGTCTTTTCTGACCCTCCCAGGCCTTACAGTGCAAGAAATGAACCAAGCAGACAGAAGCTGCTGCAGACACCAAATAGCTGCCAATCCAGAAGGGGTGGAGGAACTAACACACAAAGCAAACAGGTCCAGTACCACAGGCATTGGCCATTGCTACATGAGGGCAACAACAGCATAGCTGAGAGGAGACTGTTGCCACTCAGATGGTGAAACAAATAGAGGATGTGGACCTCAAGATGAATTTTAGATTCTTCTCTCCAACACAGTGTCTGAGAGTCAGCTTCACACTTTTCCCTTTTGTCCTGGATACTAGTGCCCACATTTCACAGATTGTCTCCTGTCTTTTCACAGCTCTTGCCCTGACTAGGTTGTTTCCACTGCTGTACTCAGCATCTGGACTAAACAAATTATTCTGGCTGGAATGAAAATTCTAGAGAAGAAAACCTTGGATGTGTCCTTTCAGAGAAAGACAGGGTGCTGCGGTAGATATTTCCCCAAATCTTCTTGTGCCAACCACATTTTGCTAATCCCTACCCTTACCAAGTTGCAGAAATCAAAATACTTCAGCACCCGGCTCCAACGACTCTGGCATCTGAGACAGGGGAGGACTGCCTAGCTTAAGATCCTAAATTAAATGCTAAAACATTAAGAGTGAAGAGAGTTAAGGAAATTCATGTCTCTTCCTTTGTTTCTTATCCTTTCTGCCCTTATTCTGGACAGTCCAATGCCTTTTCCCTCAGACTATCCCAACCCTCATTCACTTCTATACCCTCTGCAGGGTCTACCAGTGTTCCGCGCCTGGAAGAAGAAAGCTGCCCAAGTGGAAAGTTTCCGGCTTTGGAGCTGGAAAGTTGAGTTTAGTTCCATGGGAGGGGACTGACAAGGGTCTCCTGGAGCCAGGAGAGGTGAAGAATTGGAATAGAGACATGGGCCAAAGTAGCCAGGAAGATCACCAGTGGAACTGAGCACTGCCCTCCAGTAATATGTCAAACTCATTCACCTCTAGCTGCCTCTTGGCCAGATGTATCTCCATTTTAAAAAGTGTAGAGAGACCACAAATTATCCCCATGGGTTGGTATGCTTCAAGGGAGCTCTGCCTGCTCTCAGCCAAGTCCCCAACCCTCTATTGTTACTGATCTGGGAGATAGGGGGGTGGACCAAGCCAGGCCAACCCAGAGCTGGTCTTTGCTTAGCTCTATCACAGGCTTAGGGACTGTGCTAGAAGGCCTGCTCTCTTGCTCCCCGCACATTAAGGCCCCTGCTACTTACCCGAGGTGGTAAGGAAATAAGGATGGTGGTGGTCTCCCTTATGCAGAGGGTGATGGGCGTGAGGAGCCAGGAGGGTAGGTGTGGGCATGAGGGGGTAGCCATAGTCTAGTAGAGGCACCCGGGAAGCCAAAGAGCTGGCAAAATGGTCAGGGGCCACCTCCCTCAGCGGCTTGGGCTTGTGCAGCAGGATGTCCTCGATGAAGAAGGATGTGGGCCTCTGAGAAGACGCCGGGTGTAGAGGAGAGGTGAAGTTGAGATTCATCTTGATCTCGGAGCGCCTGCCACAGGGCGAAGGCCGGGAATAAAGTGTGTGAAGCAGGCAGCGTCTCAGCAAGCCTGGTGGAGATCCGACAACCCTTCTCCGAGACTCAGATCTCCACTGCTCTCTCCTCGGCCTGGACTATCCCGGGCACTGGAAAGGCGAGAAGACAAGATCCTGGGTAGGTTGGGTCTATGTGCTGGAGAATTGGCAGCTTCGAGAGGGGAGCCGGGAGAGCCAATGGCAAGGCTGCCGGAGGCAGAGGGGAGGGTGAGGTGGGCTTGGGGCGGGGCGGGGATCTGTCCGCGGTGCTGAATACGCCTGGCCGTGCCTGGCGAGAGAGGAGCCTTCTGGGTTCGGGCTCCTAGGAGGCTTCTGGACCTCAATTTCTGCCCCAGCCCCCCGTGCACATACATCGCAAGAGCTGCTTTGTTCCCAGTCGTCTTTTAGAGAAAAACTAAAAGAAAAAAAGTCTCTGTTGTCCAACAAACTCCTCCCACCTTAGAGAAGAGACATTAAAAGAACCCCATAGCAATAAAGCACTTATTCAAGGCATTTGGGCCTAGAGTTTTAAGAGATTCAATAATAGACGGCAAAAGGAAAAGGGGAGAAGTAAAGAGAAAATTGCCCACTATTTTAAATAGCTAGATTCATCTCAAATTGATAGGAGAGATGACTGGATTATTGAGATAAGTAAAAATGATCTTAACATTCTTGACCTCACTTATAGGGAGTGGGTGAGAGAAAAATTTATGTCTAGATTATTCAAGTGATTTGGTCAGTTTAAAAATGTCCAAAGCTACCCTTTAATACCATCCTCAACGTTCCCTGAAATTTCCATTACTTCCTCCTCATTTCACTCATATGGTTTGCTACTTCTGCTATTACAGTCCTTTCAACCCTAGTCCCCCAAATAATTAAACAGGTTTTTCCCCCTCTTGTTCCTTTCCCTAGCCTCTTTCCTTTCCCCTCCTTCCCAATCTTTTTCCCCCTGTCTTTTTCCAATCTGTCACATTTATTTCCCAGAAGTCAATTTGCCAAAATTAAGGTGATCATCCACAACACAGCAGGGGTAATTTTGGCTCGCATCTCCAAAAATTGCTCTAATTATTGATGTTAAACTCAGGGAAATTAAAAGAAGGCACTTCTCTTCCATCTCCCCATTTTTAAGCTCTAATTTATTGAAATCTAGTCGTCATCACAATTCCAATCACTACTGCTAATAGCAAAAGTGTTTTAATAGAGACTGAGTCCTCACAACCCATGCTATTAGATAATTAGAGGAGGCGTTAGAAAGCCAAGTGCTAATCCTTAGGTGCACGGATAGGATTTCCATCTGATCTAGCAGGTAGAACAAATTAATTACCAGAATCAATTAGGCCCCAAACTACAGTGCTCCAGGAAGTGGAAGCATCCTATTCCATACAGATGAACTGGTAAATGGTAAATAGATAAGGAGGGTACAAGGAAGGAAGAAGCACGGTGGGGGAGACTTTAAAATAAGATCTTGACAAGAGGCATCTAAATGAATACAGAACACTGTCCTGGAGTCTGAAATGTGTGGGGTTTTGTTGTTGATTGGTTTCATTTTTTTAAGTTTATAATGGTAAGAACTGAGGAAAGGAGAGCAGGTGACCATGGAAAGTAAGTCAGCTGACTTTTCAAAAAGTTGTTCTCTAGCCATTATTGCTGGTCCAGTCATCCTTTACTGGGCTGGAGGGAGACTAAGAAGGTGGAAACTGGTAAAAGACCACCACCATCCAAAGCAGCTGAAGAGATCCGTTTCTAGCAAGGGCTTTTGAGGGCCAGGTGGATACACAACCAAACTTTGGCCTGCGCCTGCACCCTTTACTTGTTTCCCTACACAGAAAGCTCAGGTTTGCAACTAGCCTGGGGGCGGGATTACGGTTTTTTTCAGGGCGGAGTCTAACTTCTGCTACAGAGGCAGACGAAAGATTACTGACTGTCCCTTTGGGGGCAGGAGCAGTATAAACGTCTTTGGGTGCCTGTCTTCAAGCCAAGTCACTGCAAATCCCCCTTACACATCTGCCATCCCAGTGTTCAAAACATCGCAGGAGGGACAGGGAGAGGCGGACTGCCTCCACGGCCTTCATTCTCCCTTTATTTTGTATCTCTAAACTCAGCGCTCCGCTCTTCCCTCAAAGCTAAGGCTATAGCCCCAGGCCCTGCTCCCTGGCTGCGAAGCCCAAAGCGGTGGCAAAAGGGGAGGCATCCTGGGTTCCCCCTTCTCTAGTGTTCCCTTGCTGGAGCTAGTCTATCCGAGAGCCGAGCTGCCGAGGGAAAAAGACTTGAGGTTTTCCCCCAGCAACCCAGCTGCCCCACGTTTGCCTAAGCCCCCAGTAGGAACCTAAGAAGTGAGAAACAGGGAGGAAACTGGTTCGCTACAGAAAGAGGCAGGACCTCGCGATCGCTGGCGTTTTCTTTCTCTTTTTCCTTTCAGCAACGCTGGGGAACAAAGCTGCGAGCCGGAGAGAGCACCACCACCGCCGCCAGGACCCAAGCAGACCCCTGCGGGGCTCGGAGGCGGAACCCGCATCCGTAGTGCAGGCTCCGGCGGGGATTCTACCGTCGTCTCTTTATCCCTGAGGGAGAGAGACCGCTTTTGCCCACGGTGCCCTGCTAACACAGCCGGCACTTGGAGCTTGAGCCGTGCGCGCCAATGGGCGGGTATGCAGAAGGTTCGTCCTCAAGATTCTAGTCCCGTCCTGACCTCACGTTCCTTTTAGAGCCAGATCCAGGGAAATTGCATGGCGGGTTCGGAACGGCAGAAAGTTTTTCCGCAGTGGCGGGGCTCCAGGTCAGAACCGCGGGGTGGAATGCTAGAGTTATTAAAACCAGCCCAGACTTCAGCGCACAGCTCTGCCCTGGCCTTTCCTCCTCCCGCCAAGAGGAGAAGGAGGGCGCCGGGGTCTCCAGCCCCTCTTTTTTATTCCTACGGTAGGAGGGAGAAGTCTTGCAAAGCCAGCGATTGATGTCTGGCAGCATCGCCCCCGCCCCCTCGCTCCGTGCTCTCGCCACCCCCAACCCGCGTAGGCCCCGGGACAGCCCGAGTATGGGGGATTCAGTGTTATATTTTAGGGAGTAAAGATTGTCTGCAGCAGAAAAATGGAGCAGACAAGCTATTTCCCCTTTAAAAACAGAGATGTTTCATTGCCTGGTTTGTCTCTGAAGTCTAGGCCATTGCTGGCCACTAAAGATAATATGACCCATAAGGGTTATTTAAAATTTTCTGCTTATCAAATTTAAAAAGCAGTATGTCATATTTTAAAAGGCGAAAGAAACAGATGAGACATTAATGTAGTTCATTTAATCCCGATATACAAAAATATTATTATTCAACATGTAATCGATATAAATATTATTAGCATTCCTTTTTTCATATTAAATTCTCAGAATTCCAGTGTATATACTCTATTCACACTAGCCATATTTCCAGTGCTCAATAGCCGCAGCGTGCTCATGGCTACTGTACTGTACAGCACATGTGTAGTTAATTGCGATAGTCTCTGTTACTCCTTTCAAATGTAGACAGACACACAGAGAAATGGAAAGCAGCTGCTGAAACCAGTCTAGCACATTCGCAATCTTACCCTCATCCATCCATTTTATTCGACTGCTCTGAGCATTCATTGAGCACCTACTGTATGTGATGCTCCTTGCCACATACCTTCCCAAGCTTTCTTCAAGACTCGGGAGGTTAGATAGAGGCACCCACATTGCATTTTTCAAAATTTTCATTTGACAAAAATCACCCAAGACCAGCAGGCTCTGGTCATCTTTAAGACGGACACATGCAGCCAGATACTGGACACTGCCCAGAGTAAAGTAAATAAATAAATAAAAAGTAAAGATCAAATGAATTTCCTCCCCTCCCCACCTGAAAGATCTGATGGCACTCATGCTTATGGTTTCAGCTAAAGAATTATTAATTTAAAGAGAAAAAAGACATGCTTTTCAGGGAACTAATAATTAAACAGTCCCTTTCTCTTTCATGTCAGTCTCAGCTAAAACTGTCATCTAAGCTGGGACTTAGTTTCCCGAAAAGATAACCTTATTGATGATCAAAGGAAGAGACTGGTTCCATTAGCCAAGTTGCCTATACCATGGCCTTCAAAATAAAGGGGGAAGTGTATTTTAGAAGGATCTGAGTAACACACTTTACTCATAACATTTTGTATTATATTGCTTGTTGTCTGTTTCAACTTGCCTTCTATCTGAGTACTTTATTTTAAGCACTACCAAAGTGGATGACATGTCTACAAAAAGAACAGGAGTTGCTGACTGCTTCTAGCAAATGCATCTTCAAAAATAATGCTTTTGCACTGGAAATTAGGATGTGAGCCCACAGGAGAACACATTCAAGGCTTGATATTCAAACCACAGTGTTACTAATGTAAAAAGGAGTAAATCCACCCAATTTTTTCATGCAGGACTGGGTCAATGTGAACAACTAAAAACTTTCATTTCATTTCTCTCTTGATGTTCTATATGCTGCCTTTGTCATCTCAATTCAAAACATGCTTCATAAAGTGATAGAATAGACGACATAGAATAGAAAATTAAAAGTTTGAAATATGGAAGATCCTGTCAGAAAGATATATGATAGAATGACAATGGTCTTTATTGGGTCTTTTATTAGCATTAAAGTATTTTCCCCATAGGATTCTAAAAGAGTAGCCAGATATTTTACTAGGAAAAATAAGTAAATAAGCTAACAGAATGCCTTTTAAATGTCCTTTTCTTCCACTCTAAACCATCTAAATTCTGTGATTAGACTTGACATAATATATTTCAAATAATAATACCAAACTAATATGCATAGTTTTGAAAATAAAAGGGTTTAAATTGCCCCTTAATTTTTATTTCTATATGTTTATTTATGTTTATGCTATATACTTATATATGTTTATTATTATATACTGTGAGTTTCTAGTGCTAGAGACTTACAATCTCTATTACGGAATACAAAGGTGAACTTCTAGGCATTCCTCAAAAGGACTTTGTGCATGGGTCTAAATGTTTGCTGGATTTTTGTTAGAAAGCTGAGCTATTTATTTTTTTTTGTTTGAAGATACTGTTAATAAAGCAAAATTCATTTTTAAAAATTCCCATTGTAAATGCAATGAAGCTAGAGGAGAAAAAGGGAAAAAAAGAAAAGAAAGGTGCTAATGTTGTCACTTAATGGAGATAATGTTGAATTTTTCTTACAATGACCAAGATGATAGATAACTATAAAAGAAACCAGAAGGAAGGCTGGAGTTGTGGCTCAGTGGTAGGGAGCTTGCCTAGCATGCGTGAGGCACTGGGTTTGATCCCCAGCACCACATTAAAAAAAAATGAAATAAGAAAAATAAAGGTATTGTGTCCATCTACCACTAAAAATATCTCAAAAACAAAAAAGAGAAGGAAAAATATTGGAAAGGTATTAATTAAATAAGATTAAAATAAAGAAAGCAATTCTATATATAATATAGAAACTTAAATGTTATGAGAAAAGAAAAGAAAGATAAAAGTGAACTAAATTAATTTTTTTTTAAATTCTGTTTGGCAAAAATGATCATAAGCAAAATTTAAAAGCAAAAGACAAATTGGCAGACTCAACTCATCACAGACATGGGTAATTTGTTATATATAAAAAGTTCCTACAAATTGTCCAGAAAAAAAGATTAAGAACAAATTTTTGTTTGTTTGTTGGGACCAGGGATTGAACCCAGAGGCACTTAACCATTGAGCCACATCCCAACCCTTTTTATTTTTCAATTTACACTGAATTGCTTAGGGCCTCAATAAATTGCTAAGGCTGGCTTTGAACTTGTGATCCCCCTGCCTCAGCCTCCCCAGCTGCTGGGATTTCAGGCATGTGTCACTACACTCATCAAGAGCACAATTTTTAAATGGGCAAAAGACTGGAAAAAACAATTCACACACACAAAAAAAGACTATAAGTGACTCTTAAACATTTGTAAAGATATAAGTAATAAGCCTAACACCAATTAACTATACTAAGAAATGTCTTTCACCTGTCAAGCTAAAGAAATTTTGAAAAACCTAATAACCTACTATGTTGATAAATCTGTGGTAAAGAAAATACATTTATGCAAAGAGTACTCTCATATATTTATGCAAAGAATTTAAATTCCTCTATGAAGAATAATTTGATAATATATATCAAAATTAAAAGTGCACATTGAAATTTATCCAAAATGTATGATTCGCCCATTATGGCTAAATTATAGAAACTCAGAATGAAAGGAAGTCCAAGATATGTTGTTAAGTGAAAAAAAGCAAAGTACAAAATGCTAATATTTGTTTTAAATGGAGGGAGAAGGCAAAAACTATACAAATGTTATTATGTATGCTATGTATGCCTCTGGAAAGAAATATAAGAAACTTACAATATTAGTTACCTCTATCAACCAAAATCCTGTGGCTTTGGTGAGAAGGTTTTTATCCTGTACACTCTTTCTTTCTTTTCTTTTCTTTCTTTCTCTCTTTCTTTCTTTCTTTTTCTTTTTCTTTTTTTTTCTTTTTTTCTTTTTTTTTTTTTTTTTGTGGTACCAGGGAATTGAACTCAGGGGCAGTCAACTGAACCACATCTCCAGCCCTAATTTTGTATTTTATTTAAAGATAGGGTCTCACTGAGTTGCTTAGTGCCTCTCTTTTGTTGAGGTTGGCTTTGAACTCACAATCCTCCTGCCTCAGCCTCCTGAGCCACTGGGATTACAGACATGCACCACCATACCAGGCCTTTTTAAATTTTTTGAGTATGCATCATATAAAAGTGATATTTCTTTAAAAAATAAATAACATTGAATTTTCAAAAAACAAACACAAATGAAAAATAATTATTTTACTTTAACAAGAACATGTCCAAATAAAAATGTGCTATATTTTTATAAGGATTTTAGCTCTTCTTCATAAGTTTTTGGGCCCAAATTAGGACATAGTTATTTGTGATTAATTGATATTTGCCTTCAAGGGACATTAACCTTTTATTCCTCAGTAAAAGATATACAAACTGTTTACTTTCATATACATCATATGTGTTTTCAGAAAGTTAATTACCACAACCCCACCCAGAAATTAGGAATAATTCTGCTAATCACCTAATGAAAGGTCTCTGAAAAATGGGGTTTTGTTTGTTTGTTTGTTTGTTTCTATTACAGTTGGTGATTCTTTGGTTAATGAAGTGGATTTCTTGCATTTATATTACACAAGATATATTTTGTTCTGCCTTCTCATTTAACTATTACAACTCTTCTTACTTTACAGGTAAAGAAATAAGGAAGTCCCCTAGTAAAGTCATGGGCCCAAGATGACACAGCTTGATTAGTAGGATTAGAACTCAGATTTATCAGGCCCCAGAGTCCACTCTCTGTGCATTCCACAATATTATCTTTAAAAAATAAACAAAGACAATGATAGAGTCTGCTTTTCTCTCATCATCGATGAAACTTGAAACTATTGATGTTAATTTGAGAATCCAATCCTCCCAATTCTGGTTAGAGGGTTTATAAATTCATACCTGACATATGATAGCTAGATCCTAAAATACTACAAAGGATGTTTTGATATTTTGATTTTGGAGAAAGAGAGGGCGAGAGAGAGAAAATGCACATTTTTCCATCTTTACTTCAAGGCCATGAGGGAAGTATATATTTCTACTGGTAAATAGTTTGGAGTCAGACCTATTTAGAGATCTGGCTCTATCACCATTATCTACTACTTGTATGACTTTGGAAATTTTGTTTAACCCCTCCAAGCTCTATTGTCCTCGTCTGTAA